TATATCCTTTGTTATACTTATTATGACAATTTCCAGCATTGAAACATTGATTTGATACATTCCTAGGTGCTTCGCCGGCATCGTCAGTGAGTATTTCTATTCTTAACCCCAAACTGCAAATCATCGGAAAGTCGACAATGAAGTTAGATAACTTTCATACAGCGAAAGGAGACTGCGACCAAAGCAGAATTCATAACATCTTCGTCTTCATATTCCCTAATATTTCAATTCTCATCGTAGAAAATTCACTAATCCGCGTATTTTAAGCTATTTTCGTGTCACATTTGAAATTTGACTATTCCTTCATTGACACAATGGAAAAGTTAAAGGAATAAAGTGAGTTCCAGCCTATATAGATGCTATATTTACTGCATTTTTTCTTAAGAGCCATTGTTTCTTTAGAAGCTTATGTCCATAATGTTGCAATAATGATTCTATTTTGAACTCGGGATAAATAGGCGGTGCCCCATTTGGTTGGCTGAAGTATTCAATAGTTAGGCGGGCAATATATACAATGTGGCATTGTACCTATGCCATCTTTATATTAAGAACTCATAGGAAGGATACGGTTAGAGCTATAGTGCTTCAATCATATAAAAAAATTAGCTTTCACATCTATTGCCATGGAAAAGTTTTTTTAATTTTTTATTTCCAACTATATGAAGTCCAGTTACGAGAATGGGGGCCGAGCCAGTGCTGATATAATTATAATTCTTTTGGATTGACATCTACTAGGGATGTCGTCACGACTCGCATGCACCTACACGACCGCTACCATTTACAAGACTTTTTACCACCTCGTACAACCATAGATCCTGATCGTTCAGACATTCTAATTCACTCGGAACTACGCGCCAATTTACAATCAGCCACATTAAAACTTAAGTGGAAAGTAGTAAAAAAAGGTTGATATTTATACTCGAGAATATTTTTCACAGTGATTTGTGTGTGGAAAGCTGAGGTTTCCCAAAAGCGTGATCGAAAACACCTCACGGATGCATTCTATCAGACTCACATTTAGCCGGCATTTGAAATATTCGGTTAATTCATATATCCTCGTTTGTTACTCTTAAATGAAATGCTGATATTCAGGCTATTAAAGGGAAAACTGCGTTTATGAGAGGCAGATTCTTGTCTTGTTTATGACTTTAGAATGCTGACAGAGTTCGACACAGAGCTTGTTATTTCCTCTTGCTGGTGCGTGCAAATCATCAAGGCGAGCTAACAGCGATTTCTCTCGATTGAGTTAGTTTGGCTGTCTTAAATGGCTACGCCTTAGAGCCGTTTAGCATATTGATTAATGCAATATTTAGATGTGAAGCAATTATATTTTTAATCTTAGTCCCATTCATGCAACAATTTTAGCCACAATTTGCTAAATACCTAAACAGTAATAGCGACTCTATTTATCCTTTACTGCTTGGAACATCCGATCCCAATATCCTTGCCAAAGGCATATAAATCATTATGCGCTACTATGGAATAGTTTAAAGATGCACAGACTGTTTCAGAATTTTTCCTCTCCATATTTGCCCCCACTTGGATTTGAAAGGTCCCAAATATTTCGCTGAGTACTATAATTTCCCCCGGATACTAAACTCATAAATTGAGTGGCATTTAGCGCTGGACATGCTTCGCTAAAGAACCTGATTTTCTTAGGAAGTAATAGTCTAATTAAGTCTTAAAATAAAAAAAAATGTGAAGGCATTGCTATCAGAGTAGATAAGCAGCCTGAAAAATATCTTAGTGAACCTTTATTATCCTTATTTTCCATTGTCTTCGGACCACGGTGTAATTCAGGAACGGCGGTTATTGAGCTTCAATGTACTGACCTACAAAGATTTTCCAAACCTGGAAGAACAGGATCATGTGTACACTGGACAGGTCTCAGGTCCCATATACCCTGGAGAACTGGATTTTCCCCAATCATCACGTCAGAATCAATCGGCTGCTATTGGTGGCGCTGGCCAGGAGTCGCTCGTTACAGCTCAAACTAATTGTCATTCTAACAACGACGCTGCTGTACGACAGGCCAAGAAGTATCTACCTTGGCAGGGTTTAATAACGAGATTATTGAAATCATTTTTATTTGAACGACTCGGGAGCAAAAGTGCAAATTCGAATGAAAATTGCAAATATAATAAGAATTTGTCTTTTCCGGGAACAAACAGAGATTCTACTAGTGAATACAGCCAAAATAATAATACAAATTTTTACGATCAACGCACTGGGAGTTTTTCAATTTTTGATTCAAGTCCAGCCTATTCAAGGAGCCTTTGTGAAAGACTTCAGCAAAACCGTCATTATTTTCATCGTTTTGGTAGAGAGGATTCTCACCTTACTCTCTCTTGTGGTGAGGCTCAGGTCTATGGACAAGCACATGTCCCTCGGCCTACGTTAATGGGCACCGAAAAGTTTGGTGATAATAGCAGTATCCTCGGCTACAACTATTATTTGAAAGAACAAAAATATGCTACACAATGCCTGAATGAGAATGAAAATTACGACGCAGTGCCTACAGGCAGGCAGCAGAAGTTGGCTGTCTGGAATCGCAGTACGCAAGGGCTTCCTCAAAAAGGAGCGAAACACCCAAATTCTGGGAGGCTGATGAAGGTAAGTTCTATTATGTTAATTGCGAATAAAAACTGGGTTTCGATGAATCTTCTTTCATGTGGATACTTTAATGAAATTGCATGAAGAACAGATTCAAAGATCGATTTTACCAAAATACGACGGCTGAATCCCGTTGTATTGCAGCCGCTTGGCTTTAATACGACGTTCATGCTGACGCAATCCACGAGACATCCCCCATAGTTTATAGTAAAAACAGGCTGAGCTTTCTTCCATCATATGATGGATATCAGCAAAGCTGGAAGTTATTCTTATAAAATTCTGAAGAAAAACTGGGCTGGGAAGAATTTCTTAATAATTTATTGTGATATGACTTTCCATTTCGAAAGAAAAGTTGGTTGGAAGGAATTCCGTATAGCCTACATTTACAACTTCTTCTCTGACGTTATATTTTACAAAGAGACACAAAGTCTTTAGATGAT